CTCTGCCGCCATTCTACATCCTCGTGTACGTCGACGACTTGGTCTTCGCCACAGCTGACACTGCTGGACTCGCCTACGTGAAGTCCGAGCTGCAGAAGAGACACACGTGCACAGACCTGGGTGAACTGCGCAGCTACATTGGCTTGCAGATCACCCGGGACAGAGCACGCCGCACCATTACCCTGACTCAGTCACACATGGTGCAGCAGGTCCTTCAGCGCTTCGGCTTCACGTACTCCTCGCCTCAGGCCACTCCTCTGCCTACTCGCCACTCGCTCTCAGCTCTGCCTTCGGATGAGTCCGTAGAGTCGAGTGGCCCGTACCCAGAGCTTGTTGGCTGCCTCATGTACCTGATGACCTGCACACGTCCTGACCTTGCATACCCTCTTAGCATTCTCGCACGCTATGTTGCTCCTGGGAGACACCGACCAGAGCACATGGCTGCAGCGAAGAGGGTGTTGCGCTACTTGTGCAGTACGTCGGGCATGGGGCTAGTGCTTGGAGGGCGGAGTCAAGTGGTCCTTACTGGGCACGCGGACGCTTCTTGGGCTGACGACCAGGCTACGCAGCGGTCGTCACAGGGTTACACCTTCAGCCTTGGTTCCGGCTCTGTTTCGTGGCGGGCTACTCGCTCGTCTTCTCTTCTCGGCTCCAGTTGTGAGGCTGAGATCTACGCCGGGGCCATGGCTGCACAGGAGCTTCGCTGGCTCACCTACCTGCTGAACGACCTTGGAGAGCCGCCTCGTTCTCCTCCAGTCCTGTACGTAGACAACAAGGCCATGCTCGCCTTGTGTCGAGAGCAGCGACTGGAGCACAGAACGAAGCACATTGCTCTCCGCTACTTCCTTGCTCGTGAGCTACAGCAGCGTGGACAGTTGCGGCTTGCGTACGTGGCCTCTGAGGCCAACACCGCTGATGTCTTCACCAAGGCACTTGCGCCTTGTGATCATCAGCGCTTCTGCACTCAGCTGGGTCTTGTGCCCGTCTTGCCTCACTTGCTCTCCTCTTGACCTTGCTTGTACTCTCACATATATGTATACCTGCTCTTGCTTGTCTAGCTTTATATATATGTGTGTACTCTTGCTTGTGAACTGGCCTTGTGGCCTTGACCTTGTGCTCAGACTGTGTGGTGACTTTGTGATCCACCCTGAGCTTGCTTTGCTTTGCTTTCCTTGACGGGTCTTGTGACCCCTTGTTCTCCCCCACTTTGCCTATGGGGGTGTGTGAGAACATTATAGCTTATGCTGATGTGTAGGCTATAGTGGGGTATCCCATAGGGGGTACAACCCATTTAGGGTTTCCTATATGTACCCACTTCACACATAGTTGATCCATTCTCGTTCTCATTCTCACATGTTGAACCACAGTTCGGAACGTTTTTTTTCTTTTTTTTTTTTCTTTTTTTTTTCTCCTTTGCGCAGAAACTCTCGGAGTCAGCTATACAAACTCCCGCACCAGCACAACTAGTAGAGTGCCAACTCAACATCGAGAGCTTGCACCAACCAGCACACAAGTTATGCGGGGCAGCATCAACACGGCCTCCAACAAGTGTACGGGGCTTCATAACAACATCCATGCTGCAAATTTTAATTGGTTACGACACGAACCTTTCAGGAAAGACTCGCCCCGACATTTTCTGCGGCAGGTCTGCCTACAGAACAAGGCACTGGCGTTTCTGCACTAGCAAGAAGCTCTCTGCGTCCCTGCTACTGCTCTTCCTCGTTTGCAACAACTCATGCCTCCCTTCTACACCATTTTGTAGAACGCCTCTTTGTTAATGCGTTTGGCGTTCAGCTTCACTCTTTCGGCGTTCAACTTGAGGGTAAGCATGATACTTGATACTTTTCCTTGTAACGAATGTCTTGTGTACAGGTCTCTCGTCGTCCGCTGCTTTCCCGAAAGTTTGGGAAAGGTGATCTTCGTGCCTCGTTATTTTTGGCAAACTACTGTGGCTCTTCAGTGTCTAGGTTATCAGGTCAGCGTGGTTATTTCTTCGCCACCTATCAACTGCAGTCTCGTCCTCAATTATCGACACCACCACTCTCATCTAGTGGCTTTCTTCGATTGGCAAACGCCCGTGTCCGTCTGGACCACCGCGTGCTGCAAACACTCATGCACTCACCCCACGGTGTAGTTGCTTTTTTGCTTGGTCCTTTTCTCAACTCAATCTTGGCAACCAAGCTCACGCGGGAGTCAGATCCTCTCACCCGTGGCTGGGCTGTGCTCAGCTCGTTATGTTAAAGCTCCGGTATACATTTGAAAGGAGGGGTTCAAAATCCATAGGAACTTGAAAAGTTGCCCCAAAACCGTGAGGCTCACTTACAAACCCTAACCCCCACTCACAAATGTATAATCTTGCTTTAACTCTCATGCCTGCTCTTCCAACTCGATTAGCTGATCTGGCGCTTTGTCACGTTTTCCTTGTAGCCGAGGCCATCGCCGAAGAGCCGTTCTTCTCTTGTGCGCCTTGTGCCTTTTGCCTTGATCTCGTGTCGAGCAATGCTCACTTTCACCTGGATCGGGCCCCAGTCCTTTCGCTCGTCTGTTTCCAGTATAAACTCCACCAGTCAGAACCAGCTCACTCACCCTTCGCAAACATGGCTTCTACATACAACATTGACAACGTGATGTAGGAGGAGCAAATCCTGGTCGGGGAGGATACGCTCAACAAGCTCAACGAGAATTTCCTCGTCGACGACTTACCTGAAGACGCTCTGCCGGTTCTCCCGGACAATGCTCATCTAACTCTCCGTGATGGCGCTCAGCCAGCCCCTTCCGGCGAGCCGCCAGCAAAATAGTCGTGCATCAAAGGGCAGTTCTCGGCTGCCGCCACAACCACAGTATCCACTGGAGTGCCTTTGGTGCCGGCAGCCATTCCTCTTGCCAGCTCCTCTGGTAGCTCTGCTGCCACGGCCTCTACAGCCATTCCGTCTAACTCGGCCCCGCAAGCCGCACCTACTTCTTGCTCTTGGCCTCTGCCCCAGGAATCAGTGGTGGTGCAAGCTCCCAATGGGCCTTCCTCAAGCCTGGCTCCTACATCACAATGTTCCTGCCTTTTTGTGGTTGGGTTCGGCAATTTGTCGAACAGCAATTTCAGACGCGACTCAGCTGCAACACCAACGGAAATTTCAGGCACTCAATTTCGCCCCTCACGAAATTCTCCCGCCTGTTTCCAGACTGTTTTCCAGTTTGTCCGAGCCGCGATTGCACATCGCTTCCCAAAATAGCGGTTCGGAAATTCAGCGGTTCGTTTTAATTCGACATTGCCGTAAGCCTCGTTTTGTGTACTGGCAATTTAAGTATGGATGATTTCAGGAACAACACGTAGACGATATTATTTGTTTCTACAATGCAAGAATGCAATTATTAGTTGTAACGATAGATTACACTATGTATTTGTTCATCATGTACACATCCGGCTCTTCCGGATCATACATCTTCACCACATGCACGTGGCGCAAGATAGACGCGATCGGAATTATGTGAAATGCATTCTCGTCTGCGGGCCATCGCAGACGCACGCACCCTGTTGTTGCGTCTGTGCCTGACGTCATGTAGTACCTGACGTATGCAAGGTTGTGTCGTACGTTGCGCCTCTTGCAATGGAACAGGAGCATCAACATAGCGTATTCCACGCCACCTCCCTCGCACAAAATTGCAACGTTAGAGAACCAAGGTCTTTTGTAGCTGTCCGGTGTAGCCCTCACAAAATGGGCTTCTTTGGATGACTGAGTACCCGCATCAGCCGGGATTGCCATTGTTGGATGAGCGTGAAAGTATACATGTACAAGAATGGTGTGAGAAATTGTTGTACGGTAGTAATATTCGATTGCTGCACGAGTAAAAGCTTACCATGACCTTTTCGGCGCTCAAGCCATACTCGGCCAACGCCGTTTTGAAGTAGTGATGTGCGATTGGCTGTTGGGCAGCCCACTTGTTGTAGAACTTGTTCATCTTGGTTGGCTCAGCTGGAGGCTTGACAAACACCGCGTACGCGTCTTGGGTAACTACCGGTGTGCCAAGGTTTGTTGCCTGCATGTATCCAATATTGTGTGTGTTAACCATTGCAGAATGGTGCTGCATATGTTGTGTCAATAAATGAGGACTTACTTGCAGCATTGATGTCTCGTGGGCGCACTCGGGTGTGTCCAGAGTTTGGTATATCGCCCTTTTCTCATGGTGTTCCATGATTTGGGCCTCGACGCCGCGTTAGTTGGTACGTCGATAGATTCGCTTCACCAACGGCCCGTGCAAATGTTCAAACATCGCTGATGAGTACTCAGACACGTGGCCTGCTCTCCTTATCGCTCCAGGGTAGTGTGTCATGAGGTGTGTTTTGATCAAACACCACTCTGATTTTTGCTCAGGAAAGGCATCCTGCAGCTCTTTGACCAGCCTGTTGGAGTGGGATCAATTATAGACAGCACTTGGCAAGGTGTGCATTTACAAAGCACCAGCAACATTGGGTGTAAGGTGTTATTGATCACACTTTTGAGTAATGGGTTCAGGATCCTTCGGGTGTTTTTACAGCACATAAACAGAAAAGAACAGTTAATCATGAAATGGAATGGTACCTATCAGTCAAACCCTCTAGAGTCAACAGATCTCTCTCCGTGTGGCCGGGTTGCTTGGCGCAGAATAGGTACCAATCCAGGTACGCTCGGATTGCGCTGAAGCACTTCTCCTCCAGCATGTCTGAGACGATGAAGAGGAGCACCTGGGGAGGGTGTGGGTTAGTGCAAATCTTGTGTATGCATTGTCCACAATAAGGCATCAGCAACAAAACGTAAGCTCCATAGGCATAAACAAACACGTACCATGAGCACCGCACGATGCTCGTATGCCGCGAATCGGGCAGAGGACGTGAAGTAGTTGGCTGACGGAAAACGGACGTTAGTCATCCTCGTATCAGCGCGGATTTGAGCTAGCCGCCTAAAAATGGGAGTGCATGGGCGAAAGATAAGGCGGGCAGACGAAGGAACAGCAAGGGTGATTGGCAGATGGGGGATAGATGTGGCAGGGGAGTGAGTGAAGCAGCAGGGGTGATGGGGATGGGGCGAGCGAAAAACAGCAAGGGTGATTGGCAGATGGGGGATGGATGTGGCAGGGGAGTGAGTGAAGCAGCAGGGGTGATGGGGATGGGGCGAGAAAAAAATAGCAAGGGTGATTGGCAGATGGGGGATGGATGTGGCAGGGGAGTGAGTGAAGAAGCAGGGGTGATGGGGATGGGGCGAGCGAAAAACAGCAAGGGTGATTGGCAGATGGGGGATGTATGTGGCAAGGGAGTGAGTGAAGCAGCAGGGGTGATGGGGATGGGGCGAGCGAAAAACAGCAAGGGTGATTGGCAGATGGGGGATGTATGTGGCAGGGGAGTGAGTGAAGCAGCAGGGGTGATGGGGATGGGGCGAGCGAAAAAAGCATGGTGGGAAATGGACAGAGTTTAGGAGGCAGTATGGTGTGACAAAATAAGTCATGTGGATGGGATGCTGATAGGAGAAGCAGATTTGGAAGGGGACTTACGCGTCGAACAAGGCGAGGCTCCGGCCGTATGACGCACGAACCGCAGCCACGATGTGGTGTAGAATGCCCAGGTCGGACTGGTGCATGATGTCAGGCATGATCGCTTGGTACGGATTCGCCCATGGCGCGCCAGGCACATCCCAGTGCCAGAGTGCGCACTGAAAACAATCGCTCAACATAGTCAATTTTAGAAGGTAGATGGTTTCAAGAACGCTAATATAATTAAGCATGTCTGCACATACCTCAATGCCGAATGTGGAAAACTGGGCCGCAGCCGTCTTTTCAGTTCCCAACTTGTCCCCTGCATGCTCCATGATCCAGCGTTGTTGGTCGACTGTCCTAGGCGTGTTCTCAGCAGTGACACAGTCAAGATGCTCCTGAAAGGGGGTGCAAGGATATCAACCATAGTTGTGGCGGTGCAAATGAGAGCGCCATGGCTGTGGGGGTACAAAGGTGAAACCTATGGCAGCGGGGGCGCAAGAATGCCAAGTACGGTAGTGGGGGCGTAAGTAAGGCGGTCGGAATAGTGTCTTACCTTCTCAGCATAGCAGACACTGCAAGGACGAGCAGTGCCACCAGATAAGGTGCAGGTGACTTTCCCACTTTTGGGGTAATCACAGACCCATGTGTAAAGCATGGGTCTAACCACATGCTCCACGCCATTGGGGTCCTTGAGCAAGAAGCCACTGTCATGGAAATGCATGTTGTGGAACGAAAGGGGTTTGGTCATCATAATCACACGCTGATACATGGGGAATCTGCTTTGTTAAGAAATATATATATATAGCAAAAAAACAAGAGCAATGGGTTTTGCAGGAATGGCAAACATGGCAAGGGGGGGACACGCTTCAGTTACCACGTCGTAATTGGGCGCCAGAATGGCAGAGTGGGAGCCGGTGGGTAGATATTTTAGTGTAACACTAATTATTAAACAATGATCACCTTTCTAGCCCCGCAAGGAGCTTTTCAAGCATGGTCATTGCGGATTGTTGGAAAAGGGCAGTTTTCTGACCGGGTGACATGGTAGTGGGGGGGATAGGGAGAGTTCCGAGCACACAGTGCCCATACGATGCCCAGCGCTTGCCCTGCCGGATGTTCCCCAATGTCATCATAACAGGCCAAGCCAATTTGCGCCCGTTTTCACTCAGGTGCGTCACGTCGCTGTAGAGCATAATGGCCGCAACTACCTCACCTTCTCCCACATGATCCTGCAATTGCATATAGGGTCGAATAGAGGGGGATTGTCAGCCTCCAACCAAAAAGCAGGCAAAAGCAGTTGAGTAACGCAAGAATGAGGTTGGGTTGAGATGGAAGGACAGGCCTAGATTACACGATAATAGGCAATAGCAGGCGACTAATAGGATTGTGAGGTGAGAGGTGTGTGTGAGAATGGAGTATAGGGCTGGAATACACAAGGCATGGAATCAAGAGCATGTGAGTGACGCAAGTATGAGGTGACAGTGTGCTACAAGGGTAATGTTTGACTAGACAAGACACAGAGAGGTGACTTGTAGGTGAGGAAATATGACAGGCATGGAATCAACAAGGCACGTAGGCAAAAACAGGTGAATAACGAAGTCATGAGGTGTTATTTGCAGGTGCGCAGATGCGGCATACCTGGGCATTATGCCACCATGTGCCCGTCTCTGGGGTGGAGTCGCGTCGCTGGCCGGTTTCAGGGTCAGTGTCCATGCGTGGCTTCAGCACAAAGCCGGGTGCATTGGCTGGGTCTCCAAACATGTCCGCCAAGGCCTGCAATTACATGGCGCATAGGGGTGGAACGGAAGAATAGATGAGCAGCAGAGGTCCCGAATAGCAGAGGAGTGGAACAGCAAAGGAGCGGAACAGCAGAGGAGCGGAACAGCAGAGGAGCGGAACAGCAGAGGAGCGGAACAGGGGAGGAGCGGAACAGCAGAGGAGCGGAACAGGAGAGGAGCGGAACAGGAAAGGAGCGGAATAGGAGAGGAGCGGAACAGGAGAGGAGCGGAACAGGAGAGGAGCGGAACAGGAGAGGAGCGGAACAGAAGAGGAGCGGAACAGGATAGGAGCGGAACAGGAGAGGAGCGGAACAGGAGAGGAGCGGAACAGGAGAGGAGCGGAACAGCAGAGGAGCGGAACAGCAAAGGAGCGGAACAGGAGAGGAGCGGAACAGGAGAGGATTGGAACAGCAGGAGATTGGAAATGTAGAGGAGCAGAACAGCAGAGGAGCGGAGCAACATCGAGATGGGCATGCAAGGGGGAATTCACCTGCGCTAGATCTCGGAAAAACAGTGTCTGTTCATCAAAGCCATCCACTTCAAAGGTTGCCACGCTCCACCCACGGCCCAGGCCAGCGAGCTCTTCGATTTCAAAGTGCTTGAGCTCCCGGCAGTTTTTGAACTTCGCCAACACCAGCTCCGCGAGCTCCGGATACATCAACAGCTGCAGTATCCCATTAATATAGACTTCCGCCATGCCCATCTTCCCATTGGCGAGGCGGACCAGATGGATGAAGCGCAATAATAAAGGATCCGTGGGGGATGGGGCCTGGGACTGTGCAACAACAGAAATCAGAGGTGCTGAAGTTTTGCTGGTCGCAGTGTTGTCCTCGCCATTCAGATCTTCGAATGAAAGCGGTTGCGGGTTAGACCCGCAAGCAGAGGTGTCAGAGCTGCTCGCGTCGGATCCAATAGCCGAGGTCGCTGGCTCGTCCGCGTCACTAGGCTCCAAACGTGGCTCGGTATGGGTGTTGGTCGGAGGCGGAGCATCCGCCACCATGAAGACATATTGCTCAGCCACCGTTTCAGTTGCAGCAGTTCCAACGGCATACTTTAAGTGACAGCTGGACCTCCCCTTGTGCTGTCCAAAAGCCTTAGCGTCCTTGAACTGGTTGGTGCAAAACCGGCACGAAATCCACTCATGGCGTGTCATGACTACAGGTGGTGACGAAATCGCTATGTGATAGACATTAGGCGAGAGGATTGACGATATGACTGGAGTTATGGAGCTTTGTACAAGGCGTTGCCAGTAGTGGTGGATAGATCAGTACGTAGTAGAAAAGGTGAAACGAAAACCAGAGGTGACGCGACAGTAGTTTGAACTGGCAAAGTTTTGAACAACGAGCACAAACGCGATGCCGAGATCTAGGACACGTATCTGATACTAGAGTGTTGTCGAGGTGGAGGCGAAAGGTCGAGGAGCAGTGTAGTGCAGTGAACTTAGTCTAAACATTATCTTGGTATAAATCATGCACGAAACAAATGTCCAAACCAGAAAGGGTACTATATTATTACGAAATGGATTGGAGAAATGTACGCTCAAGCAAAAGATAACCATTCTACAAGAGGGATCAGACCAATCCCAGCTCAGGAATGCCTTGTTGCTTGTATCATTTTTATAACTTGACGGAATTCACCGGTAGTGCTCACTGGTTTTCTGAACAGAGTGTGCTCTTGTTTTCAGATCAGTCTGAAACATGTAGGGATGGTTCAAAGGTATAATATGGTCTCAGGTACCGAAAATCAGACCAATCCCACCTCAGGAAGACCTTGATGCATGTCTCCGTTTTTCTGCCTGAGTGAATTCACCCCATGTGCTCACTGGTTTTGTGAACAGAGTGTGCTCTGGTTGTCCAATCAGTCTGAGACTTGTAGGTATGGTTCAAAGGTATCATATTGTCTCAGGCTCCAAGAATCATACCAATCCCAGCTTAGGAAGGCCTTGATGCATGTCTCCGTTTTTCTGCCTGAGTGAATTCACCCCATGTGCTCACTGGTTTTTTTGAACAGAGTGTGCTCTGGTTGTCCAATTAGTCTGAGACTTGTACGGATGGTTCAAAGGTATCATATTGTCTCAGGATCCAAGAATCAGACCAATCCCATCTCAAGAAGGCCTTGATGCATGTCTCAGTTTTTCTGCGTGAGTGAATTCACCCCATGTGCTCACTGGTTTTGTGAACAGCGTCTGCTCTGGTTGTCCAATCAGTCTGAGACTTGTAGGTATGGTTCAAAGGTATCATATTGTCTCAGGCTCCAAGAATCATACCAATCCCAGCTCAGGAAGGCCTTGATGCATGTCTCAGTTTTTCTGCCTGAGTGAATTCACCCCATGTGCTCAGTGGTTTTTTTGAACAGAGTGTGCTCTGGTTGTCCAAATAGTCTGAGACTTGTACGGATAGTTCAAAGGTATCATATTGTCTCAGGTTCCAAGAATCAGACCAATCCCATCTCAAGAAGGCCTTGATGCATGTCTCAGTTTTTCTGCCTGAGTGAATTCACCCCATGTGCTCACTGGTTTTGTGAACAGCGTCTGCTCTGGTTGTCCAATCAGTCTGAGACTTGTACGGATGGTTCAAATGTATCATATTGTCTCAGGTTCCAAGAATCAGACCAATCCCAACTCAGGAAGGCCTTGATGCATGTCTCAGTTTTTCTGCTTGAGTGAATTCACCCCATGTGCTTACCTCTTTTTGTGCTCTGGTTGTCCTATCAGTCTGAAACTTGTAGGGATGGTTCAAAGGTATAATATTGTCTTAGGTACCAATAATCAGACCAATCCCAGCTCAGGAAGGCCTTGATGCATGTCTCTGTTTTTCTGCCTGACAGCTTTTGTGAACATGCCTTGACGCTTGCCTTCACGTCACTGTGTTCCGCTTCTCTGAAAGCTCTGAGATTGGTTTGAGGAGCTCATCGCATATGGGGAGAGAGTTGTTTAAGATATCAGGCCCATCCAATCACTCTAGCATTGTAACTCAAGCCGGTGCATCAAGTGCAATGCGGCTGTTTTTTCAACCATGACACATGCCTTGACGCTTGCCTTCACGCCACTGTGTTCCGCTTCTCTCACGGCTATGAGATTGGTGTGAGGAGCTCATGGCATATGGGGAGAGAGTTGGTTAAGATATCAGGCCCATCCAATCACTCTAGCATTGTAACTCAAGCCGGTGCATCAAGTGCAATGGGGCTGTTTTTTCAACCATGACACTTGCCTTGACGCTTGCCTTCACGCCACTGTGTTCCGCTTCTCTGAACGCTCTGAGGTTTGTATGAGGAGCTCATTGCATATGGGGAGTGAGTTGGTTAAGAGATCAGGCCCATCCAATCACGCTTGCGTTGTTTATGGGTATATATGATGGTGGCATGTGAAACAACCAAAACTATGTTGACAGCCTGGCACCTTACTAGGTCACAGAGGCAGCACATGGTTCCATTGATTATAAACACAAAAGGTGGAGATGACACAAACTGTGATGGCCAGAGAATGAGAGGTTGAGTGCTAGAAGCTTCGTTGGTATAGCTTGTTACGGCGGTTCTTGTAAAATTCAGGGAAATAAGCCTTTCTTTACAAAACAATAGAGGAGGACTAGGGGAAATAGTAGAGACACTTGAATGAAGATTTATACCTCAACCAAAGTGTTTATGAGCCCAAGAAGACATCGAAATATGAGCGCGTTTGGAGACATAAACCAATCCCATGTGCATATTTGTGCATGATTCAGCAGTATTAATGCAATGTATAGCTATGACTATCCTAAAACAAACACACACGTACAATTTCCAACACTTGACCAAATCTGTGGCTTTCAGTATGGCATCTTTGAGAGAGACCTTCTGTAATGTAATCTATATAAGCCTACCATTTTGTACATCTAGATTTGGGGTTGTTACTGATCTTCAACGCGACTCCCCTATCTACGGCCGTCATCACCGGTCACTGTAGATTTCAGGGACCAATGGAGGCCTTTCCTTTTTTTACAGCGACACTCACCAGAAAGCGAGCCATTAGCAAGAACATGTGCATGCACTTAGGGCGAGTGGCCTTGAGGTCGTAGTTTGGCCAAATTTCGCACTTCTAGAGTGGTTGTGCATGGTCAGATGCATTTAAGAGACGTTTTGCCACGGTAGAACGCGGTAATAGGGTCGACCTTAGACAATTTTTGCCATAAGACATGCGTCCTTAGAATCACAAGCGCTGCACGGTTCTTCACTTCGAACCACTTACATCCTACCGCTTGAGAGGGAGTATGCGTCGCCTCGTTTGTGAAAGGAACAGCGTCTCGAGTCGCGACATGACGGACCCCACCAGCAGATATGCAGCATGGGTGATTCTCTCTTTTAGTCTTACCGTGCGCACGTCCAGTGCAGGATGTCCAGTGCAACCCTCTTTGGTCGCCTTCGTTTTCTGCAGATGGCTATCGCGCCTCTGTCTGATGCACGTAACTTGCCTCACCACCGATTTTCAACCTTCCGACGGTGCTGTATGTGTCTCTCGTGGCAGCTTCATGTCTCCCACGTCCCTCGTATTCGTCGATCTGCGAGCCGTGGTGGTCGGGATGCTGTCACGCCGGGCACGATACGAGCGTAGCGCACAAATCTTGTTTGACGGCTACTCCGATACCTGGCTACCAAGCGTCGAGGTGCGAAGAGCGGTGCACCATGATCTGTTTATAAGCGATGTTTTGGTTCGAGCTTGTAGTACTTGCTCAAAACTTTGACTACTAACAAACGCCTTCACTTACAGCCCTTTGCATCTCAGCAATGTCGCAGCCAACCATCTCCGAAGGCCGTAAGGGTGAGCAAGCGGGAGAGCAGGCGAACGCAAAAAAGGCCGTGGGCATCGAAAGAGAGGTGGTAAGAAAGCACAATGCGCCACCGAGGAACAGGGCAAGCTCCCAGATGGCTTCACCGCGGACATTCTAGGTGAGAATGACGACGGTACGGAAACGTCCGCCGATCCGAACGGCTATGCGGTCGATAATGTGGCGCACGGTGAACAGGCGGTGTTTGGTGTGGCGAATGATGACGGTTCATATCGCGACGAGACGTATGGCGAGAAGGTGGTTGGTGAAGCGGACAAAGGCGAAGCGGACGGAGGCGAAGCGGACGAAGGGGAAGCGGACAAAGGGGAAGCGAACGAAGGGGAAGTAAACGAAGGGGAAGCGGACGACGGTGAAGCGGACGAAGGCGAATCGGATGAAGACGAAGCGGACGAAGGCAAATTGGACGAAGGCGAAGCGGACGAAAGCGAAGCGGACGAAGGCGACGCGGACGAAGGGGAAGCGGACGAAGGCGAAGCGGACGAAGGCGAAGCGGACGAAGGCGAGGAGGGGGAAGGCGAGGAGGGGGAAGGTGAAGGGGCGGAAGGCGGAGAGGCGGAAGGCGTAGGAGCTGTTGGCGAGGAGGCGGAAGGCGAAGGGGCGGAAGGTGGGGAGTGGGATGGCGAAGAGGGGGAAGGCGAAGAGGGGGAAGGCGAAGAGGGGGAAGGCGAGGAGGGGGAAGGCGAAGAGGGGGAAGGCGAGGAAGGAGAAGGCGAAGAGGGGGAAGGCGAAGAGGGGGAAGGCGAAGAGGGGGAAGGCGAGGAGGGGGAAGGCGAAGAGGGGGAAGGCGAAGAGGGGGAAGGCGAAGAGGGGGAAGGCGAAGAGGGGGGAGGAGAAGAGGGGGAAAGCGTAGGGGCTGTAGATGGGGCTGGAGAGGAGGCGGAAGGCGAGCAGGCGGAAGGAGAGGAGGCGGATGGGGTCCAGGCAGATGGCGACAATGTGGGCGAAGGCTTGTCCAATTACTCCAATTTTAGTGCAGAGGAGAGAACTAATGGGCGGCGGACACGCGTACAAGCACTCAGCCGCGGGTCGACGCTGGATGAGGATGAAGAAGCTGCACGAGTGGTGAAGAAAGGGCGGTTTATGATTCTGGGGGTCGCACCGGATGATACGCAACAGTGCGGTAACGGGCGTGGCGGAGAAGCAAAGGATAAACAAGGAGGGCAGACCGTGAAAGGGGCATTGGCGGCGGCGAAGCCACCCATGAAGCGCAGGAGTAAGAAGGCCAGCACTAAACCCCTTCCAAAGGGTAAAGGTGAAGCAACGGAGGGGAAGACAAAGACAAAACCTAAGCCCAAAAAGCGTAAGTCATCCACTTTTTGCCCTCCAGCCCTGTAACCCTTCGTTCTGACCCGCCTTGCTTTTTCCCATCCGTCTCTGTCAATGCTCCCGTTGTCCCATGAATATTCCCAACTAGCTTCCCTAAACCGTCCTGACCTGTCCCCTCATGCGCTATCCCATCCTGACCTGTCCCATCTTGCTCTCACCCTACACCAATCAGCGGTGAAGAATTCTGGTGTGGGTCCGTTGTGAAAGTTTAGAAGAAAGAAGAGGGGTTGCACTAGCAAGCAGCAAGATAGATATAGGAAACCCTAAGGGGTTGTACTCGCTATAGAGTACCCCACTGCAGGCTAGAGAACAAAGATAACATTCTGACACACCCCCATAGCCAAAGTGGGGTGTAATCAGCAGAGCAAGCAAAGCAGTACAAGCTCAGGGTGGATCACAATGTCACCACACATTCTGAGCACAAGTTCAAGAAGCAATAGTTTAGAGTTCACAATTATGAGAAAAGCTAGAGGCTATCGCAGAGGGCATGTGTGGAGGAGGAGGGACTATGGGGGAGAGAAGATGGGAGGCGACTGCTGATGCTGCAGACACACAGACGAGCTGCTGGCTCAGTGGCTACCGGAACAGCGCTCCGGACTACTGGAGTAACTGGCCCCGCGGCTAAAAGTAGCGGCAGACGAGCAACGGACCCACGGGCGACTGGCGACTACCGGATATTGTAGCCTCCAGACTGCTGGTGCTGCTGACGACAAGACTGCTGCCTCCACTCAACCTCCCCCAGCTGCCCAACGCCCCTCTCACACACCCACTGCTACACCCCAAGCTCCACTCCCCCTTCACCCCCCCTTAGTACCACTCCACCGGCTCCAACAAGTCCACCCCCCCTCAGCGGCAGCTGCAGCACAAGGAGACGGAGGAGGAGGAGGAGCAGGGAACGGCACACAGTGGGTGCACCCCCATACCCCTCACCCCAAACCCTAATTCAGGAGAATGGGGAGTAGGAGGGGTGGGGCGCTAGTAGAAGCACTGGGGGACAGCGGGGAGGGCAGGGGCAGCAAGGAACGGGCCCACCACGGGCCTGGTACAGTCACCCGAGCCGCGCGCAGGCGGCCCGAGCCGCGCGCGGGCCTGGCGCCGCCCGTACGGGCCGCGCGCGGGCCTGGCGCAGCCCGTACGGGCCGCACGCGGGCCTGGCGCAGCCCGTACGGGCCGCGCGCTGCCTGTACGGGCCGCGCGCAGGCCTGGCGCAGCCCGTACGGGCCGCGCGCAGCCTATACGGGCCGCGCGCAGGCCACGACGGGCGACGGGGGGCGACGCGTGGGTCCCCGTCGCCCGTCGCGGCGCCTCCCAAGGGCGACGCGCCGAATGACGGGGTAGAAGCCCGCCGCGCGCCTCGGGGCGCACAGCGGGCAGAGAACCGCCGCGCGCCTCGGGGCGTACGGCGGGCAGAAAACCGCCGCGCGCCTCGAGGCGCACGGCGGGAAGAAAAAACGGCCACACGCCACTGGGCGTGCGGCACCGAGAGTAGTGGTAGCAGTTGCAGCGGAAGCAAGGAGGTGGTAAGCCCACCCACAGGATCGATCCAAGGGGATCGACCTGCTCTGATAGCATGTGAAAGTTTAGAAGAAAGAAGAGGGGTTGCACTAGCAAGCAGCAAGATACATATAGGAAACCCTAAGGGGTTGTACTCGCTATAGAGTACCCCACTGCAGGCTAGAGAACAAAGATAACATTCTGACATCCGCCAACCACCATCGAGCGATTCAACCTTGGGGGGGGAGGGGGGAAGCTGCCCCAGCTACAGGTCACCCAGTAGGCAACTACTAGTGCGATGCAAGTGGGAGCAGCAGCAGCTCCTGCGGGTATGACTGTTGCGAGGGTGGGAGGAGCAGCGTCAACGGGAGGGAGGGTGGGAGCAGCAGCAGCATCAACTGGGGTGAAGGTGGGAGCAGCAGCAGCGTCAACGGGAGGGAGGGTGGGAGCAGCAGCAACATCAACTGGGGTGAGGGTGGGAGGAGCAGCAGCGGCATCGACTGGAGGGAGGGTGGGAGCAGCAGCGGCATCGACTGGAGGGAGGGTGGGAGGAGCAGCGGCATCGACTGGAGGGAGGGTGGGAGCAGCAGCGGCATCCACTGGAGGGAGGGTGGGAGCAGCAGCGGCATCGACTGGAGGGAGGGTGGGAGGAGCAGCGGCATCCACTGGAGGGAGGGTGGGAGGAGCAGCGGCATCAACTGGAGGGAGGGTGGGAGGAGCAGCGGCATCGACTGGAGGGAGGGTGGGAGGAGCAGCGGCATCGACTGGAGGGAGGGTGGGAGCAGCAGCCGCATCGACTGGAGGGAGGGTGGGAGCAGCAGCGGCATCGACTGGAGGGAGGGTGGGAGGAGCAGCGGCATCGACTGGAGGGAGGGTGGGAGGAGCAGCGGCATCGACCGGAGGGAGGGGGGGAGGAGCAGCGGCATCAACTGGAGGGAGGGTGGGAGGAGCAGCGGCATCGACTGGAGGGAGGGTGGGAGCAGCAGCAGCATCTACTGGAGTTTTCAGGCCCAGGGGTACCACTACTGTAAGGACGCCGCCTCCAGGGCCCACGACGTTGGCTGCCGTATCAACCAGGGTGGCGCAGACGCAGTGGGTATCACGAGCGGAGTTTGCGGCGCTTAGGAAGGAGATGCTCCAACAGTTTGAGAGCCTCAGGGCTCAAGGAGTCGTGGTTCCTGCTCAAGGACTTGCGTCGCAGGGCAGCGACGCAACAACAGGCGTTCCTCGCCCTCCAAGTCGGAGTGCCGGACAAATCGCTCTAGAAATGGTGATCGTCAATGCTGGAGACTGGAAGGTGCGTATAAACCCTTGCTGCCCTTTCCTCTCATGCTCTATTCCCTCATGCAGTCTTCCCACCAGCTCTGTTCCCCGTTGATTTGCCACTCCTGCTCTGTCCCTTCCTGTGCGCTCCTCTCCTGCTCTGTCCCCTCCAGTGCTCTCCCTTCTTGCCTTGTCTCGCTGCTCCTCTGCACTCACCATGCCATGCCCCGTAGTGGTCTCCACCACGTACATTTTGTGTTGCCCCACCCTTCCATCTACTCATACATTTTTTTCCTGGCAGGTGAAGTGCCGGAGTGTCATCACCGAGTTCTTCTGGCTGAACGACGCTCTTCGCATCCAGATGTATCCTTCGAGTGAAGAGGCGATGGCAGGGTTATCTACTTATCTGTCCCCTGATACCATGCCCCACTTGCAACTGCTGTGGAAACAACAATGCCCAACAACAAAGGGGGCATTCTATACAGCATGCAGCAATACCCGGTGTGCAATTGGCAAAATACTCCGTCGATTGGTTCTAACTGCATTGGGGCGGGAGAAAAACAAGGGGAAGGTGATGTCCCTCCCGGCGGATTTGGATCGTCCGGCGGTGTATCGGAACGATGCCGAACTGGTCCGGGACAACATGACTGGTGAGCTCCTAATCCTTGCTCTCTCCCCCCCTCCTCTATCACATGCTCTCTCCCCCCCTCCTCTGTCACATGCTCTCTCCCCCCCTCCTTTGTCACATGCTCTCTCCCCCCCTCCTCTGTCACATGCTCTCTCCCCCCCTCCTCTGTCACATGCTCTCTCCCCCCCTCCTGTATCCCATGCTCTCTCCCCCCCTCCTCTGTCACATGCTCTCTCCCCCCCTCCTCTGTCACATGCTCTCTCCCCCCCTCCTCTGTCACATGCTCTCTCCCCCCCTCCTCTGTCACATGCTCTCTCCCCTCCTCTGTGACATGCTCTCTCCCTTCCTTTTGTCACATGTTCTGTCCCCTCCTCTGTCACATGCTCTGTCCCCTCCTCTGTCACATGCTCTGTCCCCTCCTCTGTCACATTCTGTCCCCTCCTCTATCACATTCTGTCCCCTCCTCTGTCACATTCTGTCCCCTCCTCTGTCACATTCTCCGTCCCCTCCTCTGTCACATGCTCTGACCCCTCCTGCTCTGACCACTCCCGTGCTCTCCCCTCCTGCTCTGTCCCATCCCGTGCTTTTACCTCCTGATCTGTCCTTCCCTTGCTCTCCCCTCCTGCTCCGTCCCCTCCCTTGCTCTCCCCTCCTGCTCTATCTCCTCCCATGCTCTCCCCTCCTGCGCTGTCCCTTCCCGTGCTCTCACCTCCTCTATCACATGCTCTGTCCCCTTCTCTGTCCCCTCGTCTGTCACATGCTCTGGCAGATGAGTGGGGGATGAAATGGCATATTGACCAGATCACGCAGCGCCCATTCTCCACAAAATTGTTTGCGATCGCCATGAGCAAGGCGTTTCGAAGGCGCCGCGTTGATGTCACAGCGTGGAAGACACGCATGGTGGCTTTCGCCTTGTTTTCAGTAAGTGTTTTTTCATTATATCCAACGGTTAGGTTTCAATATCAACATGTTAATGCTGTTTCGCCTTGTTCCTGTGTTCAGCTCGAGAACCCACTGTTGGAGGCAGCAGGGGATGGCAAGCTGGGCACGGACCAGCGTGAAAACCGCAGGTTGTTCGAGCTAACGTGCATCAGGGTTCGACGTTGGGTGGAGCACTCTGTGAATGTGCTGGGCGTCACGCATGATGCGACAACAAACGCGTGGGTGTTCGAAAACGGGGTCCGTATTGATGCGTCGGATTACCCTGCACTATTGAATGTATGAATTTCTGGTTAATAAGAATGGTAATAAATGCACCAATCCTTAAAGCAGTAATATGGGCAATACTAGTTTCTGTGTTCTGATATTAAAAATTATATGGGCAGAACAATTATAACAGCAACAGCAACAGTGATAACAGGTGAACTATTATATGCAAAACAATTGTAAAACGAATTGAGAAATCAGCACAATAGAAATATTTATATCGAACATAGATTTAATAGAAACTACTATACAAAAAACAAATGGTATACATGATTACATTTATTGGCCCCGAGGCGCGATTCCAACGCGGAATGTGGCGTTACCACCACACCCATTTCGGTCAGTTACCAGCTGGAGCGCAGGATGAACCGAATGAGAAGAGTAGAACGAGAATGGAATGAACTATGGAATGAAAGTGATACAAGTATGCAACCCTAGAAATGTGTACCCCATATGGGCTACCCCACTATAGCCTACAGAATGTTATAATTTGACACACCCCCATAGGCAAAGTGGGGGAGAACAAGGGGTCACAAGACCAGTCAAGCAAAGCAAAGCAAAGCTCAGGGTGGATCACAAAGTCACCACACATTCCGAGCACAAGTTCAAAGGCCAAAAGGCCAGTTCACATGCAGGAGCACATACACATATATATATATATATATATATATATATATATATATATATATATATATATATAAGAGGCTAAGCAAGCAAGAGCAGGAGTATATATATGGGACAGTACAAGCAAGGTCAAGAAGTGAGCAAGTGAGGCAAGACAGGCACAAGACCCAGCTGAGTGCAGAAGCGCTGATGATCACAAGGCGCAAGTGCCTTGGTGAAGACATCAGCAGTGTTGGCCTCAGAGGCCACGTACGCAAGCCGCAACTGTCCACGCTGCCGTAGCTCTCGTGCAAGGAAGTAGCGGAGAGCAATGTGCTTTGTCCTGTGCTCCAGTCGCTGCTCTCGACACAAGGCGAGCATGGCCTTGTTGTCTACGTACAGGACTGGAGGAGAACGAGGCGGCTCTCCAAGGTCGGTCAGCAGGTAGGTGAGCCAGCGAAGCTCCTGGGCAGCCATAGCCCCGGCGTAGATCTCAGCCTCACAACTGGAGCCGAGAACAGAAGACGAGCGGGTAGCCCGCCACGAAACAGAGCCGGAACCAAGACTGAAGGTGTAACCCTGTGACGACCGCTGCGTAGCCTGGTCGTCAGCCCAAGAAGCGTCCGCGTGCCCAGTGAGGACCAGTGGACTCCGCCCTCCAAGCACTAGCCCCATGCCCGACGTACTGCACAAGTAGCGCAACACCCTCTTCGCTGCAGCCATGTGCTCTGGTCGGTGTCTCCCAGGAGCAACATAGCATGCAAGAATGCTAAGAGGGTATGCAAGGTCAGGTCGTGTGCAGGTCATCAGGTACATGAGGCAGCCAGCAAGCTCTGGATACGGGCCACTCGACTCTACGGACTCATCCGAAGGCAGAGCTGAGAGCGAGTGGCGAGTAGGCAGAGGAGTGGCCTGAGGCGAGGAGTACGTGAAGCCGAAGCGCTGAAGGACCTGCTGCACCATGTGTGACTGAGTCAGGGTAATGGTGCGGCGTGCTCTGTCCCGGGTGATCTGCAAGCCAAGGTAGCTGCGCAGTTCACCCAGGTCTGTGCACGTGTGTCTCTTCTGCAGCTCGGACTTCACGTAGGCGAGTCCAGCAGTGTCAGCTGTGGCAAAGACCAAGTCGTCGACGTACACGAGGATGTAGAACGGCGGCAGAGAGGTGTCGGTGCGCAGAAACAGCGACGGGTCGGCAGTAGAAGGAGCAAAACCAAGAGCCGCAAGTGTAGTCCTCAGTGTGTCGTGCCACTCACGTGGGGCCTGGCAGAGACCGTAGACTGGACACCGGAGACTCCACCGGGTACCAGGAGTGAAAGACCCAGTGAAGCCAGGTGGGCGGCGCAGCCAGATCTCCTCGTGCAGGCTACCCTGCAAGAAAGTAGTGCTGAAGTCGAGAGAGTGCAGCTCGTAGTCACGGTGAGCAGCAACGTGCAGCAGTACCCGAAGAGTGGTCATCTTTGGGGTGGGGGAGAAGTTCTAAAAGTAGTCAACTCCCTGCCGCTGACTGAAGCCACGAGCCACGTAACGCGCCTTGAAGACAGGCGGAGAACCCGACGGCCGCTTCACCCTGAAGATCCACATGCCACTGACGATGTTCGCCCCAGGAGGGGGGACAGCGTCAACGTAGGTGCCTGTGGACTTCCAGGAAGCCATCTCTGCATCCATATCTGCATGCCACTGAGAGGAGTAGGGACCCTCTATCGCCTCCGCGTAAGAGCGCGGATTCGGGATGTCAAGTGCATCCGGGTCTCCCTCAGGGCTAAGCAATACGGACACGAGATGAGGTGAAGCAGCTGCCAGACACTGGAACTCCTCCTGCCTGTCCTCAAAGACGTCCGTGCCAAGGGCACACTCACCCCCGACGGACGGAGGACAGACAGACTCAGACTCAGCGACAAGACTGGGAGCGTAGTCTAGGCGACAGCGAGCAGCAAAGTCGACGAGCTCAGCAACAAGGACAGACGCAGCAGAAGACTCGAAAGAAGGGTCAGTGACGGCAGTAGCAAGGAGACGCGTGACAGTAGGACTGGCAGCACGAAGAGAGTCTGACTCCGGGTCGGCAAGAGCAAGAAGAGAGGACGCAGGAGGAGAAGGCAAAGGGGCACGCAGAGGAGCAGTAGACGGACGCAGAGACATCCGGTGCGTGCCAGGGACAGGCGGAGGACGCTGACGCGAACCGCGACCACTACCGCGAGCAGCACGAACAAGCGACGCAGGCCGAGACGCAGGCTCACAACGCTCAGTAAGACCTCCGGTAGGACCAGCGTAGGGAGAAGGAGCAGGCAAAGGGGAGGCAGGCTGTAGCTGTGGCTGTGACGGGACAGACTGGGGACCCTCCAAGGGAGGTGGAGGACCAGTAGAAGGTGGAAGACCAAGAACCTGCTGCAGGAGTGGAACGAAGTACGGTCGAGGCCGCGTGGCGACGCTAGAAACAGCAGGGACAGCGTCAGAACCCCCAGCAGGAGCACCCGCTCCAGCAGCACCTCCAGCAGCTCCAGAACCTCCAGCAGCACCAGGAGCACCCAAGCAGAACCGCCAGTGGTAGTCTCAGCGCCAACACCCTCAGCAGCACCAGCTCGAGTCGAACCCGCAGGCCCAGCAGCTCCAGTACTCCCAGTACGAGCACCTCCGGAACCCGCGACAGCAGCACCCTCAGCAGCCGAAGAACCTCCAGCACTTGTAGCACGGCTCCAGCGCCGGGCAAACCACTCGCGCAGCTCCTGTGGAGAGAGTGGCTCCCGGCGAGAAGAAGCACCCAGAGAACCTCCGGGCAGAGCACCTCTAGGCTCTGCACCCCCAGGCTCAGCACCCCAAGGCGTAGTACCCCCAGGCTCAGCACCCCCAGGCTCAGCACCCCTAGGCTCCGCACCCCCAGGCCCATTACGCCCAGGCTCAGCACCCCCAGACTCAGCACCCCCAGGCTCAGCACCCCTAGGCTCCGCACCCCCAGGCCCAGCACCCCCAGGCTCAGCACCCCCATACTCAGCACCCCCAGGCTCAGCACCCCTAGGCTCAGCACCCTCAGCAGCACCAGAGTCACCCGTGACCTCGACAGGCTCGAGTGCGTCTACCTAGGACACACCTGAAGGGGCAGGACCCTGAGGGGGGAGGGGGTCTACCGGGGGGGGGGGACCTGGTACAAGGAAGAGTGGGGGCGGGGGGAGGGACGGAGTGCGGTAGGGGAAGAGGCGGTAGTAGGGGACCGACTCGTCGAACGTGACATCCTGGGAGGACAGAACACGGCGAGAGGTGGGGTGGTAGAACTGCCACCCAGGAGCGTCGGGGGGGAGCCCCAGGAAGACGCAAGGAGCAGCACGAGGGGACAGCTTGTCCGCAGACAAGTCGCGGACAAACGCCCGAGATCCCCAGACCCGGAACGCCGACGCATTGCCAACCTTCCCCGTCCACAGCAGGGCTGGGGAGGTCTCCGGCCTGGAGACCCTCCGGCGCCGCGTACCTCACCGCAAACGGCCACAGAAAATGGGGGGCAGCCGCATGCATCATAGACGTACGAGCGACGTCCATGACCATGCCAATGCGGCGCTCAGCAATCACATTTTGCTGCGGTGAGTCCGGAAGTGTGAAGGTCTGACGGATGCCTCGTGCACGACAGTAGGCTCGCAGAAGGCCAGAGGAGAACTCTCCGCCTCTGTCCGAGTGCAGACGCAGAACAGAGAAGTCCGAGCCAAAGCTCTGCCTGAGCTGGAGACGAGCCGCGCAGATCCAGTCGATCAGCTCCTCAGTGATATCACCCTTGCTGCGCAAGGGGAAGACTGTGGTGTAACGCGAGTAGTCGTCAACAACGAGCAAGAAGTAGCGCTCGTGACCCTGTCCACGGACGCGGGCTGGGCCCCACACGTCCATGTGAAGCGTCTGCAACGGGGCCTCTGTCGGAGGAAACTGGGAGGAGTGAGGGGCAGCACGCTGGCGCCCCTCGACACAGGGGACACAGGCAGGGCCAGGGCCCTGAGGAAGGGGAGGGAGGGACCGGGGGAGACCAGACACAAGAAGACGGGAGGCCATGCCTCTGAGCCGAAGCAGAGAGGGGTGACCAAGGCGGTGGTGCCTGAGGAGAGTCTCGTGAGACAGGAGACGACACGAACAGGGGGCAGACTCAGGACCAGACCTGGACGCTGCAGCAAACACCTGACCCGACGCCGCGATCCTACCAGACTCAGCAACGGGAGGAGACTTAGTGGTCAGTGCTTACAGACTCGACCCCAGTTGACGGGTAAACGTAGCCAGGGGTCGGCCTGTGCTAGCCTCTGTGCAGTGCGTCACCCGCTGGCACGCAGGAGTGAACTGGTGGACACCCGCATCCTGTAGGTCAGCACCACTCACCAGGTTCGTAGAGAACGAGGGGAGGTAAAGACCAGACAGGGTGCTAGAGGGAGCCGCCGGACACGGGAGGACTGTGGAGAAGCGAGACAGGACAGGACCCCCAGAGGGGTCAGCCAGAGACACCGCAACAGGCCGACTAAGCGGCGTGAGCGAGGTGCGATCCCGAAAGAAGGAGCGAGACGCTCCAGAGTCAAGGGTGAAGGTGAGGGAGGCCGAAGCCGACGTAGTACCTGAGAGCGCAGACTCACCAGTACCTGAGAGCGCAGACGCACGGGCACCTAGAGCAGCAGCCTCACTAGTACCTAGAGCAGCAGTAACAATGCCCGGGTCGGGCGGGAAACACCGGTAACAGTCACCCTCATCAGTAATAGTCACAGCATACATGGCACCAAGGATAGCATCAAAGTCAAGATCATAGATAGCTACGCCTGCCCTAGACAGCTCTCCCCAGCGGGGGATCTCAGTGGCCTCCGGGAACTGCTGACGCCAAGCGTCCGTCAGGCGGCCAAAGCAGCGTTAGGTGGGGTGGGCACCCCCACACTGCTTATCCGCACGGTCGCCTGTGCGAAGGACGTAGGTGCAGGGACCAAAACCCCCACCACGCTGACGCTGCGTGTACCACTCACGGAGCTGCTGAGGGGGGGGGATGTCACGAGAACGCTGCTGCTGTTGCTGCTGCTGCTGGCGCTGACCACCACCAGTGCTCCTCCGCTGCGAAGCACCACCCCGACCACCTCCACCACCTCCACCACCGCCTCCTCCGCCTCCGCCGCCTCCGCCGGTACCACCGCCGCCTCCGCCTCCACTGCTGCCACCGACACCTCCACCCCCGCCACCACTCCCACCGCCACCCCCACTCCCTCCGCCGCCTCCACCTCCACCTCCACCGCCCCCACTAGTTCCACCCGCTCCCTTGCCCCCCTTGCCCTTGCCAGGGCGGCGTCTCCCGCTAGGGGCAGACGCCGCACCGACCGAGTCAAGATCAACGAGGTTGGCCGCAACGGCAGAGGCGACAGAGGGCATAAGGGGGGAAGGAGAACACCGCTCAAAGATGGGGGTGCGAGGGTCACCACGAGAGGCCCCTACAGCGACTATGCTCTTCTCTGCCGCTAGGAGGGACTTCTCGAGGAGGTCTACAATGAGAGTGGTGGGACAGACTGAGAGGAAGTGGTCCCTGACTACACAGAGGGAGTCAGGGAGACGAGTGACTATGAAGTAGAGAGTGATGTACATGGGGGGGGGGTTCTTGGCGCAGAAGTCAGCAGGAAGCGCAGCGCGGTAGCGAGTGACACTACTGCGGAGGTGCGTAATGAGGTCAGCGACTGTGGGAAAGGCAGCAAGGTCAGGGAAGAGGTACGGTAGCATGAGACGGCTCAGTGCAGCAGTGGCAGGGGAGGAGTAGCGTGCAACTACAGCGTCGTACAAGGTCTGAGCACTCTTGTACTGACTAAAGTGCGCACGCTCAGAGGTAGGGAGGTGGCGACGCACAGCAAGACGTGCAGCAGCATCGCGTGTGGCCCACTGGGAGCGAACAGTAGGGTCAGCATCAGCAGCAGGGGCAGGAGAGGCGCCAGAGGTGAGGTCAAAGAGGGAAAGACCGATGGCCGTCGGTGTCCACTGGGGTCCCGCATGCGCGGTCCACATGCCCGTCCACATGTCCTCGGCCTTCGCCCCGATACACATCCGTCTCCCCCGCGCCCCGACTTTCGCGCCCGTCTGCTTTGGGTGAAGCGGTTCCCGCACACCCATCGCCGGCCGTCTTCCCTCCAGTGGCAGGTTCGCCGGATTCTTCGGGTGAGGTTGAGGCCGATATGTCTCAGTCTGCCTCGCCATCCTCTTCATTGCGCTCGGACAATGAAGCACTCTTTGCACCAGTGCCGTCATCTGCGATGCCATAGAGGCTCCAGACAAGCACGGTACCACATGTCAGCTATACTTGTTGGGCACTGGGGTTCATATGTATATACAATGCAAACACTCGCATGAGTACAACGAGTCACTCATCCACGCTCTTTCCGCATACCTTGCTCATGCTGTACCACCTCGTCTCCCTTCTTGGTCACGCTCAGACGCTTAGGCAGTGTCGGCCCGCGTTTCCCGTTAGACAGCCGACCGCGCGGCAATGTCAGCTGATACGACGCTCGCAGGTACGCCGGCGGGTTAGATACACGACGGGCGCGCCGTACCGTCAGAGTATCCTCTGAAGCAAGCGAAGTATCCATTGTAGCAACAATAGTATCCAGTGATGTAGTCACAGAATGACGCGCGGTTCTATACATATACATATACCTCAACTTCTTACCACACCTTAGCCCATCATGGGCAGTGAGTTAGGTGGGCAATACGACTTCGTGTCTATTTGGATGACCGCAATCCGAAACGGCTAATACATGCACACCACGTCATCCACCGCCATGTACATGTGTGCACAAATAAACCACACACCGCGCACATCATGGCGACACAACCGTATCGTTGGAACTCGTTTGTGCGTACATCTTGTCTCACAAAAGTATTCACTCTGAACGTTGTTGACGTACATCCTTTCATTATACATCTCACCAATTGCTCGTTACACTACCACACAATGTACTGAACATTTGAGCACCATAGTGTAAGCAATAGCCTTCGCACCCATCAATTACGAATACCAGCAGAAAATCTAACGCCCTGCATATCTCCCACAGAATTACTCGAAAACGATACCACACAATTGCATTCATGTGTACGTCTATGCATCTACACCAACTACGCAGGATGTTCTGCCAACATCTCATGTGCAGCAGACTCTTCCACACCCTCCTCGGCTTCGTTGTGCTGAGCACACCCGCTGCTACCGTTGTGTACATGGGCCGTTCCCCCACTCTCAGCATTGTTAGGATGGTCTGGTTTGTTGGCCGCCTTGTTTCTATCCACCACCCTCTGCCTCTTTGACGTGCGCGTGGCAACCACTCGCTTCCTCCCTCGTTTCACCTTCCAGTTCACGCCCTCCCGCACCTCCTGCTAGCTCCGCCACCTCCACCACTTCCGCGCTTCCACCAGGAGCTGCAGATCTTCCTTGGTGCATCCACGCAGCATCGCCTTCTCTGCGGCTGACAGACTGACCGTGTTGGGTATCTTGTCTCGTGGCCTCAGGACGAACGCACTTGCGGCGTACGCATACGCCGCCTCCTCCTCCAATGTGTATGCACCCAGCCGCTGTTGCCTACGCTTTCCTCCTTCTTTGATCAGGATCTTCACTCCGAACTTGCCTGATGCTTTCTCCAACTTCACTCTTGTGTACTTCGTTGCATACGTGTCGTCACCATCCGTTTCGTCCTCCGTGTTTGACACGAGATCCTCCTCTTCTTCTGCCTTCACCGTCTCGTGGCCGCTCGTATCTCCCCACGCATCAGCTCCAGCCGGCACCGTCACCCCGAGCAGCGGTCTCCCGCGGGTGAACATCCAGTGAGGTATGGTCCCTCCTGACAGCAGCGGGTTTTGCAGCTAGCGCGCTGTCGGATCACATGCAGCGAACGAGGAGGCCAGCGCAACACGGGTGGCATTGCGTACGACATTCTCCTCTGGACTGCGGTCAACAAGCCTCTTGCGCCCGGATGGATGCTGTGGAGTGTGTGGGGCATTCTTGGTGCCACCTGCCTCTGCTTTCGCGCCGGATCTCACGGGGTTGCCTTGCATCAGTAGTTGGGTTGCAGCGGACACCACCTCCTCGCGCCTCAATCCCCCAAAATTGGATATGACGGTGAAGCTCGCGTCCAGGAACATCACATCGTTCTCCATAATCACAATTTCCCTCATCATCGCCGTAACCCGTGCGTCATCCCCGGCTTGACTGACCGGTGCTTGCCTCACATCTTCGATACCACCGTTCCTCTCCCGCACTACTGCCCCCCCCTCTGTTACCCGGCCTGCGTCCTGCGGGTGAATTTCGATCCCCAGCGCTTCCAACTGCTGAATGAGATCTCCGGTCGCGTGTGCGCACAAGTCGCGCCGCATCTCCTGCCGGTATTGGTGCGGCGTCACTCCCTGAAACCAGAGCCCGCTCAATAACGTGGTGAAGTCGGACATCACCAGGGTCTTCAGGTACTGGCAAACAAAAATCCCACAGTCCTGCTTGTTCGGCTGCTGTGGCAGCTTATCCTCCTGCACTTCGACAAACGCAGACTACAGTTAGCAATCCGTCTACCCTCATAAACATTGTGCACACAGGTATGCGCATTCACTGGTACCCTCACCCGTAATATTATGCACTCCGCATCCAATAGGAGCTTGTCAACAAGCTCCATGTTCGCGTCGGGGTTGCTCGCCTTCGCGAGTTCGGACAGCACTCTGCATGTTACAGGCCGAAATCGTTAAAACAAGTTATGCATCAGCTGCCAGCGACATGCAACGTCGACAGTGAACCCCGTACTCACAGCTTGGTGCCTGCAAAATTCATGCGGGTGTTCCTTGTCTTTATGCTACTGTCCAGCAAGACCAACTTTATTCGCTCTTTGCCTTCGGATTTCGCAAACTTGGTAAGCACCGATGGAGATACAGCGATGACGAGCGAGTAGTGCTCCCTACGCTCAACATGAGAGGGTATGTTGGGATTAGGGTTAGTCAACCATCGGTGTCATGCTAAAGAATCGACCCACGAACCGAATACTTGTGATACGTACCCCTCTAGCACAGGGATCGCGAGATAGTCGTGGTGCAGTAGCGGAAGCCCGTTCCCCAGCGTCAAAGGTGCACCACGCGAGTTCGTCTGGAAGTACGCCTTGCAGTCCAAGGCAGCCCATGTTTTCCCGTCACGGAGAGTCGGCTTCCGGATGCTAAGCAGCCTGCACAGTAAATGAACAAGAAATAACAAAGCGTATTAGATGTTGCCCATACATCAGATACTACGCCACAAAGCATCAACCAGGTGACCTCAGTGAAGATACTTACACGTTGTGAAAGTCTAGCACACCATCAGTGATCCACTGATCATCCTCGATCGACATGAGGTCGTCCTTATCCACCTCGCACCCGACGCCGCGGTGATTTATAAGCGTCATGTTTCTGTACGAAGACTTCATGTAATTCCGTGCAACGAGGGACACCAAATCTTCCTGCACCTCCTCCCGCACCGTATCCTCCTTAGTCGTAGCAAAATTCATGGCCCTTCCGGAGGCCTTAGTTGGCGGGATCGGCCCTGGATTCTTCATGTTAGACTCTGCATTTTTCGACGACCTGGTTCTGCACGTCGGCGGGGCAGGATCTTGGTCGTCGGAGCCGCTGCTAGTTTTGGATTCATAGAACCTGTTGCGCTTAGATGTCAACAGCTTAGGTTTCGCCATCTCTATCTATCAACGACTAGAATACAAACTACCCTGGCTTATGAAGACACGAGGAGGTAGGGTTGGCAGGAGGAACACATTTACGGGGAGCGCAAGCGTTGAGGATACTATGGAAAATGAAGGAGATAGAAAGGCGTAACCCTTAAGGATCATGCACATCTGGTGTGACCGTCGTGTAGAGCTACATAGATCTACACCGTTGGCGCAAGCGTGCATGCGATGGCCAGGTGTGATGCGACCACTCAAGAGGATGTGATGGTTCAGCGCCATGCAGATCCACGTGTGCTAATCCTAGGGTTTCGGATGCTGTGGTCGGAGGTTGAAGCCAGGTTACCAAGTAGATGCATGCAAGCGAATGCACGGTAGTTCGAATTTTTTTATGAGAAGGCCGTATGACACAAAGTATGGTAACGATGTACGCCGTATAATGAACATACGTGTATGTGTCTCTTCGCGCGCCGAGTCCAGGATTTTGCAATCGATGCGTACATGGTTATTAAACTTGTATAACAATAACACGCGATTGCAATGTGTTATGTTACGTCAGTTCAAGGTGGTCAGAGTTTGGAAAAAATGGTGTTACCCTACATGACAAATAATCAAATATATGCAATGGTTGTTGGTGGTTACGGATGTCAGAACATATCTATAGCTTATACTGCTGTGTAGGCTGTAGTGGGGTATCCCATAGGGGGTACAACCCAGTTAGGGTTTCATATTTGTACTGCTTTCATTCATAGTTCATTCATTCCTGCTTACTCTTTTCACATGGTATCAGAGCTAGGTCCCTCCAGGACCGAAATTTTTGGGCCCACCGAAACGCGCCCCCGAGGCGCGAATTTTTTTTTAGCGACCCCTCGAGTCGCTCTCTCCTCTGCGGCCTCGCCGCCCACTCTGTCGCGGCCCCGCCCTGCTCCTTACGCGGCCCCGCCGCCTGCTCCTTACGCGGCCCCGCCCCGGCCCTTACGCGGCCCTTACGCGGCCCCACGCCAGCCCCTTACGCGGCCCTTACGCGCCGGCCCCTTACGCGGCCCTTACGCGGCCCTTACGCGGCCACGCCGCCGGCTCCTACGCGGCCCCTCGCCGGCTCCGTACGCGGCCCAGCCCCGGCCCTTTCGTGGCCCCGTCCCCTGCCACTACGCGGCTCCGCGCCGGCTCCTACGCGGCCCTTACGCGGCCCCGCACCGGCCCCTTACGCGGCCCTTACGCGGCCCTTACGCGGCCAAACCGCCGGCCCTGACGCGGCCCCGCCCCGTCTCACTTCTACGCGACCCGAGCCGCCTGTCACCGAGCCGCCCGGGACCCGAGCCGCCCTGCAGCCGAGCCGCCCGGGAGCCGAGCCGCCCGGGACCCGAGCCGCCCTGCAGCCGAGCCGCCCGGGAGCCGAGCCGCCCTGCACCCGAGCCGCCCTGCAGCCGAGCCGCCCGGGAGCCGAGCCGCCCTGCACCCGAGCCGCCCTGCCGCCGAGCCGCCCGGGAGCCGAGCCGCTGTACACCTGAGCCGCCCGGTCGCCGTTCTGCTTTTCTGTCGAGCTGCGCGACCTGCCCTGCCTGGTGAGCACAGTCCCACTGTCACTGCGTGCTCTCCCCCCTACTGCTTGCACTGCTTCACAGTCGTCGTCATGGCTACCCCTAGTGTCCTGGCTTTTGACGCTGAGGGTCGCGCCATTGATTTTGAGGTCTGGTTAGACGACCTGCAGCTGTTCTTACAGTGCGACAGGGCTGACGACCTTTCTCTCTTTGACCTCACCTCTGGCGCCTCTCCTGCCCCTGCTGCTGATGCTGATCCCGCTGTCCGCTCTAAGTGGGCCACCCGCGATGCTGCTGCACGTCTTGCTGTGCGTCGCCACCTCCCCACCTCTGAGCGTGCGCACTTTAGTCAGTACAAGAGTGCTCAGACCTTGTACGACGCTGTAGTTGCGCGCTACTCCTCCCCTGCCACTGCTGCACTGAGCCGTCTCATGCTTCCCTACCTCTTTCCTGACCTCTCTGCCTTTCCCACTGTCGCTGACCTCATTACGCACCTCCGCACTAGTGACACTCGCTACCGCGCCGCCCTTCCTGCTGAGTTCTGCGCTAAGAACCCACCCCCCATGTACATCGCTCTCTACTACGTAGTCGCGCGCCTCCCTGACTCCCTTCGCGTCGTCAGGGACCACTTTCTCGCAGTCTGTCCCACCACCCTCACCGTCGACCTCCTCGAGAAGGCCCTCCTCGCAGCGGAGAAGAGCATAGTCGCTGTAGGTGCTTCTCGTGGTGACCCTCGCACCCCCATCTTTGAGGGGTGCTCTCCTTCCCCCTTGCTGCCCTCTGTTGCCTCTGCTGCTGCTGCCGACCTGCTTGGCCTTGAGTCGGTCGGCGCGGCGTCTGCCCCTAGTGGGAGACGTCGCTCCAGCAAGGGCAAGGGGGGCAAGGGCGCGGGTGGAGCTGGAGGGGGCGGTGGCGGTGGCGGCGGTGGCGGCGGAGGGAGTGGGGGTGGCGGCGGGGCTAGTGGCGGGGGTGGTGGTGGTGGTGGCGGCAGCAGCGGCGGAGACGGTGGTGGTGGTGCCAGCGGTGGTGGTGGAGGCAGCGGCGGAGGTGGAGGCGGCGGAGGTGGAGGCAGTGGAGGCGGCAGCGGAGGAGGCAGTAGTGGTGGAGGAGGTGGAGCTGGTCGGGGTGGTACCCAGCAGCGTAGCGGCGGTGGTGGTGGCCAGCGCTCGCAGCGGCAGCAGCAGCAGCGCTCGCGGGACATCCCTTCGCCTCAGCAGCTTCGTGAGTGGTACGCTGGGCGTCAGAGGGGTGGGGGTACTGGTCCCTGCACCTACGTTCTTCGTTCCGGCGACCGCGCGGGTGAGCAGTGTGGGGGTGCCCACGCCACCCAGCGCTGCTTTGGCCGCCTGACGGACGCTTGGCGTCAGCAGTTCCCTGGGGCTAGTGAGATCCCTCGCTGGGATGAGCTTCTCAGGGCTGGTGTAGCGATCTTTGATCTTGATTTTGATGCTATCCTTACTGCTATGTATGTTGTGGATTATAGTGAGGAGAATGAGGGTTACCGGTGTTTTCAGCCCGACCCGGGCATTGGTACTGCTGCGCTAGGTGCTTGTGAGGCTGCTGCTCTAGGTGCCAGTGCGTCTGCGCTCTCAGG